AAGTTTTATAGCAATTTTTAAAATGATGTTATGGCTGCATTTCTAAAATGGGCCTTAATAGGCCCATAGCACAATTCAAGTTTTATAGCAATTTTCAAATTAAACCAAATGAGTTTAGTATCTCGAATCGGAAGTGGGGTATACGAAGGATAAGATGTACGTAAACTTGATATCTCTCTCAAATAATAAAGCGATTGTAATATAAGTATGCAATAGTAATATAAATAGAGGCAAGTACATGAAAAACAAAAAACTTAACTATTGACTCACTAGCTCTAACACCTACCCTCAACCTCTCCAACTTTTCTCCTCCTGTCGAGATCTCCACCACAAACTCCTATTAGAGATTATGTACTCAGAAATCTTACCGTTGTTGTATCCAACCTTTGTTCATCTCACGTCCTCCTCGACCTGTCCCTCCTCCTCGGCTCCTCAATCATCACACTTTCTACCCCTCCTCACCGAAGCAGAACAACTATCTACAACGAACGTGACTAAATCACTGTAATCTTCCCTCTCTCAACCTATTCGTGATATATACAACTCCCATTAATGTTCAAAAAACTTCATTCAGTAATCTGTCAAACAGGGTGTACCACAAAGTCCATTAATGCATCATCATTTCTGCAACTTCCATTTCCTCTCATTGGCCTTCCTTATTGCCCAACACCTCGACCCATATACAATAAAGTAGGTCTAATAACACCCCTGTAAAATTTGTCTTTCAGTTTGAGCAAGACTTCTTGATCACACACTCCCCATGGCAACTTTCTGTTTTAGCCTTATGCAATGAGTTATGTCATCCTCAACCCGACCCCATTTCTAGAACGTAGAGCCTACTGCCTAGATATTTAAAAATATATCCTTCTGGGTATCCTTTGCTCCCCAATATTGACTTCCAGCCCCTCATCTATACACTCACTGAAATTGCACCTTAAGTATTTGGTTTTTGAACGGCTTATGTGTAAGCCTTGCGTCTCCAATGCAACCCTCCACTGCTCCAATCTCTCATTCACCAACTTCCGTTTGATTGTTTAACTTCCGTTTGATTGTTTCTATTACCAACACAATGTTATATGATAATACCATATAGGGGGTGTTTGAGATTGCTTATGAAAGCTGTTTTTTAACTAATTTCAGTCTGACACCCGTGATAAGCTGTTTCCTAATGTTTGGGTAAGGAAAAAAAACCGTTTATACCGGTGCCAACAAATAGGAATCGGTTTAGTGTCGATCCTTGGTATACTCAATGTCATCCATTGGAGTCCTAGGACAAGTCATCAAACTCCCGAAAATATCCTGAATCACCCCGACATACCTCCAAAGTAACCCCCCCCCCCCC